TAGAAGAGATACATGAAGACAAGCTTCAAGTTGTTTTAATGAAAGTGTAAAGACTTTATTAGCAAAAAAGTATAAAATTTCTTGCGAACATCTTTTTTGTGTGTGATCAAAGAATCAGCGGAAAGAATTTTTAACAAATATCAAGATTTATTATTACTTGATATTATATATTTAATATATTTTTATTTAATATATAGGATAGATACTTTAATAATCAATCTGTTTATAATATTAAAGCTTAATTGTAAATTTGAATACAATTATTATTATTATTTACATATACAGTATATTTTATTATTTGAAATTTTTTTGATATCAATAGATCTTTTATAATACCATATACTAATTCATAATTTATTTTTGAATTAATAATACTTATGACTCTTTCGAGGATTTTATTATTGACAAGAATGCTTTATTGATTTTGAGAAACCAATTCGACTTGCATAATTTCAAATTATAGCATATAGATAATATAGTATGAGACAGTTATTTTAATGTACTGTTATCATTTCTTCAAGAAAGTATGACTTGATTAATATTAAAAAAATAAAAAAATGAATATTTGGTTTTCTCGAGTTTCAAATAAATATCACGACCAATTGCTTTTTTATATATTATCCCTAGTGGCTCAAAATTAATATTATCAATCTACAGTATATCAATCAATCACAAAATTAATTACTGTAAGTTTTTTTTTTAAGAGAAAACCTTAAAAATAAAACTATTTGATAGTTATTATAATATCTCATACTTATATCGGAAGATAAAGATTTTTTAAAATATTCAAAAACTAGTAACAAGGACAGTATTTTGGCACTTTATCAAATATTCGATGATAAAGGTTAAAGTCATAATCTTAAACAATGTGTTGTGACGAATAACTTAAGAGCATGATCTGACATTTTTCCCGCCACTAGTGCAAACTATCAAGTAAAATATTATCTAATTTACAGAATGCATACACCATATACGTAGATTTACGGTTAAAATTATGCACCCGAGATCTTTTATTATAGCATTTGATATTATCTATGTATTAGAGATAAAAAAAAAAAAAAAAAAAAGGTACGATTGTTAAAAAGGTCGTTTTTTCGCGAGTATGTTAACCTTAGTATCTAATCAATATAATGCTTTCTCACTCACTCCCCAGGTGAAAAAAAAACCCCCCCGAAGCATGTTATTTATTAACCAAACATAATTGATCACAATTTTTTTTCGAAGCGATTGTCGAACTAACACGAACGCTTTTCGGATTCGATTTAAATAAAGATCGAGGCATTCGTTGTTCGGTTTTATACACTCAACGCTAAGTATCGTCCATTAAAACTATGTCCGAACATATGAAAAAAAAAGAGTAGCTTCGAAACTAACCAATTGTCTTTGATCACTTATGCCTTGATAGCATATTTGCGTTGAGGGAAATGAAGGGATTTGAGATGAGCACTTTATTGCAATTAGATGAATGAAGGAAAAGCAAAGACGAGGTCAGTTTTAGTCACAGAATCTGAAATCCGAATTACACATTGGTGATCAAGAATGATTACCGTCTGGTCTTTTGCGAAGCCTCAAACTAAAAAAATTGAGAATTTTAATAAAGAAGAATGAACATAAGAGGCATTTAAAAGGATCACATACTTTTGTTAGTTTACGGCGAATGGCACGAGTTTTCTTTGGTCTAAGATCGAGAGGAAGATATTTCTTGCCTTTGTAGAAGAGGCGGAGTTGTTCGCGTTGGGTCTGTGATATGACGGTATTGACTCGCGCGATTGACTTGCGGACCTCGCAACTACATGCATTCGAAGAAATTATGATATGAATTGTAAACAATTATTCCGTCGATGAGTCTTGCTATAGCCTGCTTACAGTTTTGTCAATTTTGCAGGAGCACCACCCGCGATTTTTTGAACTTTCAAGCTGGCCAGCTCTTGTTTAAGCTCATCGAGCTGTTTCATAAGCTCAGTCTTGCTCTTTGCGCGAAGCTCGTAAGCCTTGACACGAGCCTAACGACGAAAAATGTGTAAATTGTAAATTGTACAAGAATGCACGCACGAAATGTACGTTGAGAGTGCGCTGTTAAAACTGTCATGCACAGGTAAACATACCATGATTGAGAATAATCTTGTGGAGGAGGGAGAAATAATGAGGATCAAGAAAAACGTTTTATCTGAAAAATTTTTTTAGCCAACGATGGAAGCTGTGTTCTGATTGGTTAAAAATTTTTTAAAACTTTTTTCATTCGGTGATCTTATAGATCTTTCACTTTACTTCGTGATCTCTTTTTCAAGGTGGGTAAAATTTAAAATACTTTAATCCCTCGGTTTAAAGAATACCAACATTTGTTAATCGCGTTATTAATTTGAAGAGGATTCGAGAAAAAAGTAATTTCCCTTCATTTAAGATTGCCAAATTGTCACATGGAATCATTTTACACAAATGATACCCGTGATGACCCAAGTGTAGCTTTTTGAATCGCTCTGTAAAAAAAAAAAAAATTTATTGACGTAGGAAAAAAAAAATTATGAGAGCGACACTCATTATGGCTTCAATTCAATGTTGCATAATTTCTTTAGATAAGGTCGAATCATTATAAAACAAGATGGTCCGAATTTCTGTATTGGTATGTTTTACGATGATCGAATCTTGTCAAAGAGTGACCAGAGATTAATATCCCCGATTATTCATTTTCAGAGCGATTGCCTTAACAACATCGTTAACGCCGAAAAACGAGGGAAGCGCCAAGTGCTGGTTCGACCTTCCTCAAAAGTCGTTGTCAAGTTCCTGCGTGTAATGCAAAAGAATGGTGAGGAACGCATTGATATTAGTTAATTTATTTATTGACCGGAGAATTTTTTTTTTTTTGTTTTATTCATCGAAGTTATAACTGGATGAAAGTCGTGTTTCTCGTTGACTTTTGTTTTTTAATGCTTCGAAAGACCAAATCTGTTGAGCAACGTATCTTACACGCCATTTGTGGAATAGTTTTCAAGTCGCTCTTGGCGTTTATTGCATTGCTACATTTCACAACTTCATCTTGGCGATACGATTTTTTAATCCAACAAATTTCTTTTCAAATATTCCTTCCAGAGTACATTGGTGAGTTTGAAGAAATCGACGATCATCGTTCCGGAAAAATCGTGATTCAATTGAATGGTCGGTTGAACAAATGTGGAGTCATCTCACCTCGATTCAATGTCAAATTGGACGACATAGAAAAATGGGTTAATAATCTGTTGCCATCGCGTCAATTTGGTCATCTGGGTATGTTTCCTCTTTTACTTTTTTACGATCGAATGCCTTAAATCCTGTCAGTTCGTTCACTATTGTCACTTCACTTTGAATTCTAACAGTTTTAACCACAAGTTCTGGAATTATGGATCATAATGAGGCAAGACGTAAACACACCGGTGGTAAAATTATTGGTAGGTGTATGGGCGACCAATATCTTCATGCTTCTTCAATACATTCGTTCGATCTTATCAACCAACCGATCAATTTAAAATTTCACTTGCAGGATTCTTCTATTAAGTAAAAGTGCGAATACATTAAAATCATTCTCGCTCACAATAAATACAGTACCTAAAAATAAAATCAAATAAGTGAAGAAATAAATGACTTAGAAATTTGCGTGTGTTAAAAGTTTTTATTATAATGTTCACATAGCAAAATTGGTTTAACATAAATTACAATTTTAATTGCCGAACACGCCATTCCTTAAATGCATAGCCTCGCTTCGAGTTTGCGATATTATTAAAAAATAAAATGAGTCAAGCAACCACAGAAAGCATCCCATTCATTGCATACACAAGCCGGTTTATCTATAACTATTATTGGTTTTTTTTTGTCCTTTATTAATATGATGTATTTGATTTCGTACGGAAAAGAGAAATAGCAGAAAGGGGACAAGCACCGTGTGAAAATGATCCCACCTAAATAACTATTCCAAATTTCCATGATTGAAAAAGAAGAAAATGCAGAGCTAGAAAATATAAAAAAAATTTTTTTTTTTTTTTTGACAACATCGAATATGAAATTTATATACAAGTTTCCCACTTTCACTCCTAAAGAGAAAGCAACTTTATATGAATTATGAATACTGTCGTAATTAGCTAATTGTATTTTAAGTATCATACAAAGAAAATGTAAAACGGCACGAAAGGTATCCAAATACTCGTCGTATACTTTCAGAAAGAAAAAAAAAAAAAAAAAAGGCAATGTGATTCCATACCACATTCACTCATAGTTTTATTCATTTCTTCGACCCTTGAACGGTAATGTTGAGATTAACAGTGACCGGTAACTCCACCTCCTTTCCATCAATATGAATCTTGATTTTCCCTTTTGGAATAGTCGCTGTCCAGCCATAACTGCCTGTACTATTCTTCTGAGGTTTAGCTTCCAAGGTGTATAAATGTTCACCGGCAGCGCTGTCTCCATTCTTTGAAGTCTCGGCTTTCTCCGCAGTTTTTGCTTCTTCGCCTTCCTTATCCTTGTCCTCGGCACTCCGATCCTCCTCACTCTCGATTGGCTGAGTGATCACCACCTTGAGGTCCTTTGCGTTTTCCATAAACACTTTAAGTTTGGGAAGATCACTTTTTTTCTACACAAGGTTATCCCATTCAAATATTAGAAATATTTTGTTCGGTTTTTTCAAAAGGATAATATACACGGCCGAGCCAAAAAAACGCGTTCCCATCACTAAAATAACAATAGCAAACCTCTGTCTTTTGTTTCTTGGTCGTGGTTTTACTCTTAGATGCCGAGGCAGAGCTTGCAGAAGTAGAAGCAGCAGCCTTAGCTTCTTCGGCCTTTGTTTTCGCGGCACGTCCCGGGTTCGTCTTACGCTCGACTTCCTCGGTTGCCTTTCTCTTACGTGGCTTCTTTTCGGAAGTGGCTTCAGTAGTCATGGTTTCGGTACGAGTTCCAAGCGAAAATAGACGAATAGACTTTTTTTTTTTTTTTAAAAAAAAAAAAAAGAAAGAAAGAAATAGTAGCAATATGCCAGTTGCTCTGGGAAAAAATTATGTCGTCTTGTTATATATTTATTATGACGGGAAAGGGATAAGTCGATGTGATGAAAAACAATCGATCAGGTGACAAAATTTTTTAACCGTTCAAGTGTGACCCCGTTATTGGTTGCTAAAAAAGAGAAAAAACCTCTAAACCAAATTACGACTTTTCGCAACACAACTCACCCACAATCCAAAAATGGTACCAAAGATTGAGCAAAATATCTGAATTTGAATTGTTTACTCTATGCTTTAAAAGAGGGTAAACTATTGATCCTAAATCCATTATGACTTGCTATCTGTCAATCAGGGAAATTTGTGACACACATCGCTCATGCGCATTGCAATAATTCACGTGACCATGACACAATCTATCGGGATGATCGACGCGCGATCAACAAAGAAACAAGACTCTTTGGTAGCCAATTTTTATTGATTGAAATAATGATGATAAACAAGTTTTTTTATTAAATGTTAGGTCCAGCCTTTTTCCTTTTGGACAAAATGGTGTGAAGGCAGAAAGAGATCAAAGACTTTGGCACGAACCACCAGAAAAACATGATCCTAATGGGTAGCCAACACAATTTGCCCAAAATATTCCCATCGAATGTTCCAATCAGATTTGGGGATCTCTGTTGAGATGATAATTCGGCAGAACCCGTAGCTCTAACGCTTCCGAGTGCCTTCTTATTCTTGGGGAATACTTTCAGGAGTGAATTAATCTCACCGTCACTCAATTCAACGTTCACATACCAGGTTCTAAGACTTCCACGGTCCCCGCCCTCATCGACCTCTTGAATTGTGTGGGTGAAGGCCAACACGTTGACCAGCAGATTGACCGTGGACCTCATGAAATCCGGTCCGTTCTGAGTAAGAATGTCATCCAAAAATGTCCAGGATGCAATCGTGAATTGTCCTGATTGTAGTTGAAACACTTGCTGGAGTCCTCGGATGAAAGGTTGTGCGCCGATTGAGTTATGGTATTGGGTGACGTAAGTTTTAAATTCTGAGAGGCGATGGGCTGGGGTGTAGATGAATGGTTTGGAGAGTAGAAGCTCGTCTAATTCCTTGAAAAGCTCAATGGCCTTCCTTCGATGCCATTCTGTGCGAACCTTTCGTTTGGTCTCGAGATATTTGTCAAATTCTTGAGGATGAAGCATGACACCGTTAACAAAACCAATCTTTATTAGTAACGTCTCGATCTCTTCTATCCTCAATCTTTTGTCTATCATGGTGAAGTTTAACGTCACCTTCCCGTCGGAACGGGTGGCAAACTCTACGAGCCTAATTACCGCCTCCAAATTTTCATCGTTATTATCGAAAAATTCCGTGCATATTTCCTCCCATTTCGGGAGATAATCTTGGATGGAGGGACTTTCCGATGTCATCTATATATGCTGTATATATATTGTAGGTTTATGAGTGTGTAAAGAGAGTGGGGAAAGGATGTTGGATGAAAAGAAGGAAGGTAGATAACAGAAACTCCTACATGCACTGCAGAAGGTGGACACAGAAAGAATAAAAAAAGAAATTTCCGTTTATTTTATATTTTTTTTTGTGATCCCATTTCTTATAATTTGACCTTTCATGTGAACGTCCATGCCTTATCTCTTTCAGGCTTTTAAGTACTGGTCAGAAAATGGCCCTTGATATTTTTGTGACCCGCACATCATGATAAAATGGAACTAAGCAGCAAACGAATAATGATGGAAGCCCAGATTAGGAAACTCGCAAATAAAAATGTAATGTGGTGCCTCATTTTTTTACATCATCGGATCTTTACGTGCGACGTGTGATTATCGACGACGTGTGACCTCAAATTTTTGATTTTCAAAATCTTTATATATTTTGTTGGGCGTCCTTCGGCTAGACACAACGGAGAGCTTGCTATGGTCGCTTTTTCCAAACCTGTTGCCGAGTTGCCAACAGCCATAAAAGCGGTTTTGGAGCCAGTCGTCAATAATGCCTCAACACGTCAACCTTTCAGTCGGGCAAACGCGGTAACGTCTTTTGCGGTCATATCACTAGCAATCTACACAACAAACTATGTTTACAAAAAGCGAGCGGAACGTACCGGATCCTCCTTTAACAACGGAGCCAATGTCTACGAAGGTCCCGTGCCCGGGAGTAGCAAGTATTATTTGAAGGTACCATACAAGAATCGCACTTCCACTGTGACCATAAGGCCGACCACCGCCGAAGCATTTAAGAGAAACAAGAAATCCTTCCCCGTCCTCGTCGGCCCTCAAAAGGTCGGCGTCAACAGGGCCTTCTTCAAGCAACTTGTCGCAATCCTACAAATCATTTTACCGAGGGTGAGGTCGAAAGAGGTTTTCCTCCTAATATTGCATTCCGTTTTCTTGCTCCTAAGGACTTGGCTAAGCATCGTGGTGGCAAAATTGGATGGAAGGATTGTTAGAGATTTGGTAAGTGCACGTGCTGCTAAGTCGATAATGAGATCAGATGCGGGTCAACGGATCGACACATGATTATACTGACCGACAATTCTTTTTGAATATAGGTTTCGGCTAATGGAAAAGAGTTCCTCAAAGGAATTGTATACTGGTTTGTCATTGCTATTCCGGCTGCATACACCAATAGCATGGTAAGGCCTCATATATCATCCACCCATCTACCCATCACGGGCCTTGTGACGTCTGCCTTTGCTAAATCCTACCTCTTTTCACCTTTATTTTCATAAATCTCCAGATACGCTTTCTCCAATCAAAGTTGTCAATTGGATTTAGAACGCGTTTGACACGATACGTGCACGATCTTTATCTGAATAAGCAGGATGCTTACTACAAAGCCATCAATCTTGACAATCGAATTGGTAGTACTGACCAGTTAAGTTTCGTGACGCGAATGAAAATTTATTTTGTTGCTGTCGGGAGGTTCTTCACTAAATCCTTCTCGTCGCCTTTGACACCTTAGGTTCATCACCACCGACATAGCACGCTTTTGCGACGGCCTCGCTGCCCTATATTCAAATCTGGGAAAACCAGTATTAGATACACTAATTTTCAATTATCAATTGGCAAAAAGCGTCGGAACTGTCAACATGCTGGTGCTATTCGGTAATTATCTTTTTACAACGTGGTTAATGAGAAAGGTCACCCCTGCGTTTGGTAAGCTTTCAGCTCAAGAAGCCAAATTGGAGGGTGAATTCCGTACCGCCCACACACGTCTTATTACCAATGCTGAAGAGATTGCCTTTTATCATGGAGCTGAGTTAGAACATTCCATTTTAAATCGTACTTACACAAAACTTATTAAACATATAAACGGGATCTTAAAGGTTCGCATCTTTTACAACATGTTTGAAGATTTTATCATCAAATATTGTTGGAGTGCGCTTGGACTCATGACCATGTCAGTGCCAGTATTCTTTCCCGCATGGGGTGGTCGAGGGGGGAGGAACGAACTGGACGGAGTGATCGGGAGTGGAAAAGAGAGGAGTCGTACAAAATTATTCGTCACCAATAGAAGGTATCATTTTGATATTTCCCGAGCACGATGATTCCTCCACATGCCAACTAACGTTCGAACACACCCTTTTATCAAGAATTTTATTAACACTTGGAGATGCCGGCGGACGTCTGATGTATTCCTACAAGGAACTCGCCGAACTCGCGGGTTACACCTCCAGGGTTTACGCGCTGCTTTCTGTCCTGCACTCCTTACATGCCGGCGAGTATGTCGCCATGCCTCGTCCATTGAACTTCCCGGAGGATCAGGAGTTTTACTCGCTAGGTGAAATGCACGGGGAAGTGATTCTCGGATATGACGGCATAAAATTTGAAGGGTCGCCTATAGTGGCACCTAATCCAGGAAATGAGAAAGGCGGGGAGGAGCTGATAAAGGATTTGAGTGTGGAGGTACGCCCGGGAGAGCATTTGTTGATAACTGGTCCGAATGGAGTGGGAAAAACCAGTATTGCAAGAGTGATTGCCAGACTATGGCCTTTGTTCCGTAAGTTGGCGTTCTTCCTTGTGAAATTCGATCGCGTGCGACTCACATCACTTAATTTAACGCCACTCTTGTTTTCCCCTCGAACAGGTGGTCGACTCAGCCGACCAAATTCCGAAGATATTTTCTACACTCCACAACGACCCTACCTTAGCATAGGCACTCTTCGTGATCAGTACGTTTGTTAGATTTGATTATTATGATTTTCATTATTAGTTATTACTATTATCTCACTGTTGTCGTGATCAAAACAACAGAATAATCTACCCTTGCTCTCACGCGGACATGATTCGTGCTGGTCGCACGGACGATGAATTGTTGGAAATACTTCGTGTAGTCCACTTGGCCTACATTCCTGATCGCGAGGGAGGATGGGAGACGAAGAAAGAATGGAAAGACGTCTTTTCCGGCGGAGAAAAACAGAGGGTCTCTTTCTCTTCCAAGCTCATT